TTTTAACCCCCTGAAGATCAGGACTTAAATATAAAGAAGAAACTTTCTTCTGAAAGCATTTATGGAGTAGTAGGTGTGACCGGAAAGAATCTGTAGCCAGAACATTATTCTGTCTGTTTATATCATGTGTGCTTTAGTTCATGGGCGTCCAACCTTTTGGCTTCCCTGGGCCACATTGAATGAAGAGGAAATACCTTGGGCTGCATATAAAATATATAATATAGCTAATGTGTATCAATCGTATAATAATGTTAAAAGTTTATGATCTTGTGCAGCCACATTACTAGCTGTCCATGGCCACCTATGACCATGGCCTGTGGGTTGGGTATGCCTGCTTTACTTGGCCTTAGATTTTCACTTGGTGGTCTTGTAACAGCTTATGTTAATGCCTTCTTTTCAAAAGCAGTTAACACCTCACAGAAGTACCAATGGTGGAAATAAATATTTGATGCATTTGTATCTTCTCAGAGGCAATTTGATATCCTTCACCTTGATATCCCAAGAGAGTCTATGTGCCAAATTGGGACACAATTATTGATAACTGTTATTAATTATGACACTGGCCATAAACACATCCAGGTTAGGTGCTTCACTTTAAGAGATGCCAGCTTCAATACTTATCTTAAAAGTCATTAAGCAAGGATGCAGAGTTGCTCCTTTAATTGTCCCATTTATACAGGGAATCCTCGACTTAGAACCATTCATTTAGAACTGCTCCAAGTTACAATGGCTGTGAAAAAAAATGACTTACAACTGGTCCTTGCTCTTAACATGCATCACAGCATCCCCAGAATCACATGAAGAAAATCTGGGCACTTGACAATTCTCATGTCCAGATTACAACTCGAGTTACAACCACAATAGAGCCCAAAATTTATGTCGCTAAGGGAAGCATTTGTTAAGTGAGTTTGCCCTATTTCGCGACTTTTCTTGCCACAGTTGCAGTTGTTAGGTTAGTAACACAGTTGTTAAATGAATCTGGCTTCCCCATTGACTTTGCTTGTCAGAAGGTCGCAAAAGCTGATCACATGACACTACAACCATCATAAATATGAACCAGTTGCCAAGCATCTGAATTTTTGATCATCTGACCATGGGGATGCTACAACAGTTGTTAAGTGTGAAAATTGTCACAAGTCATTTTTTTCAGTGCCGTTGTAACTTTGGACAGTCACTAAATGAACTGTTGTAAGTGGAGGACTACCTATATTTACCATGGTTTCAGCACCCAGGGTCCTGTGATCACCATTTGCAACTTTCCCAGCTGGCTTTCGGACAAGCAGAGTCAAAGGGGGAAGCTGGATTTGCTTTGCAACTGTGTGAGTCATTTAACTACAGTCATTCATGTAACAACCATTGCAAAAAAAAAAAAAGGTCGTAAAATTGGGCACCATTCATTTAACAACTGCCTTTCTTAATAATGGACATTCTGATCCCAACTGTGATGCAAGTCCAGGCCTATCTATATCAGCATCATCATTCCAGCTTCGTCTAAAAGTGAATTTTGCTCAGCCAAGCTCGCCAATAAATCCACATCCTCCTTCCTTCCTTTCTGTCTGTGCTGCAGTCTTTGTGTCTAAGATACATTGTCTAGAAGGGAGAACTTGAAATCCTAAAACATTTTGCAGTGAAGAAAAATTGGCTGTCGGTTATTACAAAACAAGAGTGGTTCAACTTTCTAAGAGACATGCTGTTTGCACAATTGGCACAAAAATGGTTTCTATGTTGAAAAGTCAAGGATTCTAAATTGGTGGGTTTTTTCCCCTCTACGTTTGGAAAGAAACTAAGCAGTCCAAGATGAAAAGATTTCTAATTCTATAATGCAGTGGCAATAAATTTGTCCTAATCAGGGATAAGATGTTGAGGTTTGTACTTTATTTTCACTGCTTTTAGAGGGACAATGACACAAGGACCTCAGGTGTGTAGAATAATTCTTAAGAACTGTGCCATGCATTCCTGTTGTGTGTCAAATGTTTTTTTGCATTCCCTCTATAAAAGGCCATATGAGAGCTTGTTCGTTAAAGTCCTGGATAAAATTATCCTTTTTGAAAGGATTTTAGACCCAGTTAGTTCTAGCAGTTAAATTTTGTTTATTCCTGGAAGAAAAGTGTAACTGCAGATTTAAATTGTGGTATGTTACTCCAATTCTTGTTGCTGGGATTTAAGAGAGCCATTTTAGAGATATAAGTGAGTCCATGGCCTACATAGAGATAGCTTTTCAATAATGGTGGCCTCTACAGATAGTCCTCAACTCATGACCACAGTTGGGGCTGGAACTTCTGTCACTAAATGATGCAGTCATTAAGTGAGTTGCACATGAATTTACAGTCTTTTTTGCTGCAGTTGTTAAGTGACTCACTGGGCCATTAAGTCAATTTGACTTCCTCCATTGACTTTGTTGGGAATTCCTGGGAAGGTAGCAAATGGTGATAATGTGACTCCAGGACTCTACAACTGTTGTAAATACATGCCAGTTGCTAAGCACCTGAATTTTGATAACCTGAGTGCTGTGATGGTTGTAAGCTAGAGCACTTGGTTGTAAGTCACTTTCTTCACTGCTGTCATAATGTCAAACACCAAGGCTATGCATCTGTATGCGTGTAAACATATTAGAGACACAACCAATTCCTGGATTTGCAAGGTACCAGTTCAGAGCATCTATCTTAACAGGATTCATTTTCGGCATATTGGTCCTTTCTTCAGCCCATCTAAAGACTGATCCAATACCTGCATAATGTCTCATCTGAATTTTAAAACAAGAAAGAAGGAAAGCTGGTTATCATTTGCATGCCAGTGGTACCCAGCCTCAACTAATACTATTACTCCTAGTCTGCAAGAAGACTCCCTGTCCCATGTGTACCTGTGAGAAAATGCCATGAACGGGGAAGGTGGGGGGGAGACAATCAGTTTTTAAAATGTCAGAAGATCCTATTGTGTACACTAGATTGAATTTCAAAGCGTATATAGTAATCTATTTAAGTATTTCAGAGTAATGATCCATATAAGGAAAGAATCTTGAATCAGATCTTGGATTATGGTTCTTTATTCATGAATCTGGAGGCGAAATGTTCTTTCAGATAAGTACTCATCTTTCAAATGCAAAATGGGATCATTCCTCTGCTATAATAACCTGTATAGTATAGTATAAAGTATTATACTATAATATTATACTATAGTATAGTATAATAATCTGTATAGGGCTTTTGAACTTCTATTGATCTGTTGAATTTTGGAAGTGTATGCATACTTAGTCCTTCTGGAAATTAGTATTCCATTTTATTTTTATTTTTATTTTATTTTTGCTTCCTGACTTTTCAGATTCTCAGAAAAAAATTATTAGAAGGTGTTGCAAAGCACCATAAATATTTGTATATTACCATCAGTATGTGAAATTAGGGATTTTATGGAATGCCAAGGAAATCTATAAAATGCCCAAAATAGGATGTCAAAGTATGACACGCTTAATATTTCACACATTTCCTAGGCATTCTATGCAATGGCAAAAGGAAAACTGGCAAAGTAAAAAATACTCCTGCTAAAATTCCATTCTAGCCTTCCTACTTGCACCAAGTAAGTCAATACTACAATAGTAGGTCTTTTTCTTTTTTTTTTTTTCCAATAAGAAAGTCCTGTACTTTATTTCGCATTTTGTCCTTCATTTTCATATATGTCTTTTCAATAAAGGGTTAGGGCTAGCCTAACCCTAACCTAAACCCTTTTCATGACTCTCCTTTCATACTTTGCCAAAATAGTTCTTGTCAAACTGCATAATGCCTAGGTATTATATACAATGCCTAGGGAAAGTATGTAGCATATTATAATAACACAGCCATTTCATACTTTTCCTAAAAACGTCACACATTCTATAGATTTCCTAGGCATTCAATACAATGCCAGCTTTTCACATATTGCTGGTAGCATATACAGCACAATTCCTGGCTCCAGTATGAAACTTTTTAATTTGTCCACAAAGCATATAGGAATTTATTCCAGCTACAGAAAACCTTTACTAATCATCATAGAAGTAAAAATAAAATTCATTTATGAAAAAGCATTTTTAGAAATTACCTCTTCCTGCAAGTAAGTATAACTGCCATACGGAGGAAAGCATATTACCAAGAAGCAAATATAGTGCTGACATTAGAAGAATGTCTATAACAATTGTCAGACCGTCCAACACTTGAGAAAGCCAAATAAAAAGAAGCTTTGAATTGAAATTGTACCACAGCAGTTCAGAAGCCTTTGAAAAATATAACCTTACAGCAATTCATATAAAAGACTTGTTTGCATTTTGCATGCAAAGTTGTTTAGTTGTTCCTCCTTTGGGAAACAGTTTGCATTTTATCCATCTGAACTAATTTTCTAGTTGAAGCATTGACTATTAGAGCCTATCCTGGAGCAATCTTGAAGGAAGAGAAACTATGTAATCCATTTTGAAAAATGGCAAAAATGTGTGTATGTTTATAATTGGAACTTTACTGAACAGTTAAAAGAGCTGTAGGATAGGTAGGTGTTTCTTTTTCCAATTACTTCTTCTATTCCCTCTTTTCCAAGCAGCAATTTTCTTTGTCTTTCCACCTATGGATTCAGATGCTCTTTGCTATGGGAGAATACTTTTTGTAGGCTTCCCATAAAATCTAGCTATTGCTCTTGGACCAGAATCTTGGACTACTCAGGCCTTTGGTGCAATCCAGCATAATTCTTCTTTTAATTCACATTATTGAACCCTAAGATAATACATATATATTTATGGAGCTGTTTTATCATATACGTGTTCGTGTACAGATCGGGACAGTTCTTGTTTTTATTATTAATATAAAGCAGTTAAATCTGCAATGTTCTGGATGTTTAAGAGGAATCCATTGCTATTTTTTTTCTTTGAAAATAGCCCCAATCTATTTCACAGTCAGTCTGTATTCCTCTTTGTTTAATAGCCTATGGCATAAATTGAAGTTAATTATCAGAGCTGACAAGTAACTCTGTTTTCTGTCTGCTCTCAGAGTCTCTCCGAGGCAAAGATGGAGCTGAGAAGAAAAGATCAATCTTTGCGTCAGCTCAATAGACATCTTACCCAGCTGGAGCAGGACAAGCGTCGGCTGGAAGAGAGCATCCATGATGCAGAGAGTGCCCTCCGCATGGCAGCCAAGTGAGCACGGGGGGCCTTGGGGAGATCACTTGAAACAGACAAAAGATCAATTCTTACTTTCATGCAAAGGATTTTTAGTCCTGGATAATGCAGCACTGGAAAACAAAAAGTACAGCTGCCTGTCTTTGAAATGGTAGTAAAAGATCCTCTTGAAGAGAAAGAACTTAGTTCAACATATTAATGGCCCTTTTCAATCATTTCAATGTCCTCGGATGGGGTGTGATCAACAGAAGCATGAACGTGTCTTGAGTTTTACCCCTAAGGTCTACCTGGGTTGAGTGAACCATCTGACCAAAAGTCAAAGTGGTTTTGATGGGAAGAGACGTTAGTATATGATGGTATATATGATAGTTGAACAGTACAGCACGTGTATCAAAATACTCATGTACTTAGAAGTACACACTGGCCCTGAGGTTGTAACAGCACACAAGTACAGTCATTCGTGTATCTCTTGACTAAAAGCTCAGAATTGGCAAGTAATAAATGCATAGCAAAAGCAAGTAGCCCAACATTCTTCTAAGGTAATCAAAACAGTACATACCAGAAGGTAAACCTAGCATAGCTTTCATGCATGACAAAACCAGCAACTTTTCCCAGCTACCAGCTACAATGACACAAACAAAATAGCCTTTTAGATATGTTCCTTGTGGCAAGTTTTTCTTCAGATTTAAACTGGTCAGAAGACGTACCGCTAAAGATTAGTGGAGATAAAAACTGCATGAGATAAACATAATCAAAATTATGTTAGCCCATAATTTTGAATCATAGACCATGTAGAAAACTAGGGGTTATATAGATGTACTCACATACTAGCACCCAGAAGATGCTACAAGGTTTCCAGAGACTTTCAAATTTGTGTTCCGCCAAATAGCCTATGAGTGAAAAATATTTGAAGTTAGAAAAGTTTCTTCATCTGGACAAAATGATCTAGCTCAGTGTTTCTCAACCTTGGTAGCTTGAAGATGGGTGGACTTCAACTCACAGCTTGTTGGCTGGGGGATTCTGGGAGTTGAAGTTGAAGTCCACCCATTTTCAAGCTACCAAGGTTGAGAAACACTGATCTAGTTGTTCCCGTATTGTTCTAGTTCTTTCAGAGGTGCCAAGAAAATTGAGGTTATACAGCCACTTCACCTATCTGATGGTGGGTTTTTTTGCTTATGTATTTAACTCATGGATTGGGATGATAAAACAAGAGCATTTTTTATCCTCAAAAATTCTTATTGATTTGTATTTGTAGAGAATTCTAGAATTTTTTCAACCATAAGAAACATTTTCTGAACTTCTGGAAGCATATGCAAAAGTTCAGTAACAAAACTTAGAAAGACAGTCATCCTTCCAGTGCTATCTCTGATACGTTTTATAAACTAGGTCTGATATCAATCAACCGTATACAAGAAGCATAGAGTTGACTCTAAAGCAGCAAAAAAAGAATGGAAATTATTGCTTGTGCTAGTTACTTTATAGTTAACTCAGCTAAACATTTTTGCATATGACACTGAAATTACCTGAAGACAACAAACCTTGGGGCAAAGGTAATGATGAATGTCATATATAAACATGTTACCTGCTCTTCAGCTTCCTGTTCAATGACATATCATACAAATAAAAATTAAATTTATAATGGAAATAATGATAGGTAATTAACAAAAACATTCATTATAAAAAGTAGACAATATAAGAGTAAAAGCAACAAAATAAAACTTTAAAAGTAAAACAACAATAAGAACATTATCTTTTTATTCATTCAACAGAGACAAAGAATTAATTGTTAGTCATATGAAATCAGTGGAATCTATCTTTCAAAATGTAAGTATTATTTTTTGATAGCACATCATCATCTACTGGTATAGCTGTATTTCAAGCAATTGTACTTTGATACTGCTTTTTCTGCTAGAAAATGCTAATGGAATGAGAAATATAATTGTAAAATAATAATATATACAGAAAAGTTCTCACTATTATATGCTAGCAAATAGGTCTGTTTTTACAATTAAAGATTTAGAAAATACACTCTTTCTAAATTTTGTGGGAATACTCTCTCACTGTTTTACTGTACAAAAAACCCCTAAATAATAGTATGCATTAATATTTTAGTCAGTTACTTTTCTGGCCTGAATTGCCAGATTGCTTGCAAGAACATGTGTGTGTGTGGGGGGGGGGGGCAGGCTTTATAGCTAATGTTTCATTTTTTTAAAAACCCATCACAGCGCAGATTCTGTATGTTTTGGTAAATCATTTAAATATTCCCAACCATATTAAAAACAAAATTGAAGGAAGGGAAGGGAAGGGAACAGAATGGAAGGAAACTATATAATACAAATGTTGTATGCATAGGTTTTTATTTCTATATAGAAAAACACTGACCTAGTAAAGTTAGCAAAAGCAAAAGAATGAACTAATCTAATCTGCAGCAATAGCTGACACTGATAATTTGACCATGCTGCTTCTTCTCTCACACACACTGTCACACACATACACAATGACGGAAAATATAAGCATACAACAGATATTTTCCAAATGGATGTTCTTTAAATGACTCCATCCTTTTAAGTTAAATAAATTGGATCAAATACAGCATGTAATGCGGAGAGTGACAACAATAAGATATCTCTGGGTTTTGGATCACTAATGTTGCTGTCAGTTTCATCATATCACCGGTGGAAATGAGCAAATTACTCTCAGTCTTTAGTGTTCAGAAAAGAATTTGTGGTTCTTTCCAGTACAGGAGCACGGGTTTACGCCTATGCTCACATGTACACACAAAGGGATATGATGCAATGCCAGTCCCTCCCACCTCACACAGATTGTAGTGGAAGAGCTTAGGGGGCCATACCTTGAGGGAGCCAGAGTAGCCAATCTACCATGTCCCTGTGCACGAGTGCATTGGCACATGCTCCTTTATTTATTGTAATATTTACATGTGATAAATTCTGTATCACATGTAAATGAAAAGCCAAGAGAACATTAAGAAGGCATACCTCAGAAATAATCTCAGACCAATTCTTTAATCATTTGCCCTCTTTAAGATGAGCTGTGATAGAATTTGGGGAGCTCAAATAACTGTTTAAAATGTCTTAGCCAGCTTAGCAGAGCCTTACAATGCTTATTTAACACATTTATATTTTTGAATGAAATGAACATTAATCTGTTTTGCCAAACTATTCAGTTGAGGATGAGTTTCTCATTCTCTTCGGATTTGGTGACCTTTCCTTCTTTCCCTGGTTCTAATCTAGCCTTCAGTTTACCACTCTCTGAATTCCTAGTACCGAACTAAATAATCATGCTGGCTATGGATTCTGGGAGCTGAAGTTCTAATAGTCTGGAGTTAATAGGTTGAGTTATATTGTTTAAAGCCCTCCATGCAGTTTCTTCTCTACTGCTTAGTTTATTGCTGATGCATCCTGTCAGTCTGTGTCTGTCTCTTTATTGAGAGAATAATTCCTTAGTCTTGCAATTAAGAATTTATGTATGTTTTATATTTGTTTCTGGATTTTGGTGAGTTGTACTGAGAGAGTGAGTGACTGGCCCAAGGTCACCCAGCTGGCTTTCAGGGCTAAGGCAGGACTTGAACTCACAATCTTTCTATAATAATAAATATATGTAATAAACACATATAGACAATAGAGTGTCATTGAAACTTCTACTACACTGCCTAAAAACAAAGCCTAAATCAACCTAACATAAAGGAATCAACAGACTCCTCTTCTCAAGAAGACTGTTCATTTATAAAGTCTCATCTCTTTTTCATTCTATCCAAGCAATTTCCTTTTCAAATATAGGGACAGCAAGCAAATTTCAATTCTCTCCTGAAGAAAGGTGTTCCAAAGGTTTGTCCTTCAGAACATAGTATGAATTTCAGACACTTGTTCTTCGTGGTAGTTAAAGGTGTGACTAATTTGGAAGGAAATTTCTTCGAAACCAATAGACCTACTCAAAAGTAAATGTGTATCATCTTACAAAAGTTGATTAGTATTCAACAAGTAACTGGCTGGATGGAAGAACAGCAATAGTCTTTTAAATTTAACTAGTACAGGTAGTCCTCGACTTAGAACAGTTTATTTAGTGACTGTTCAAAGTTACAACGGCACTGAAAAAAGTGACTTATGACCGTTTTTCACAGTTTACAGCCTTTGCAGCATTCTCAGGATCATGTGATCAAAATTCAGACACCTGGCAACTGGTTCATACTTATGACCATTGCAGTGTCCCGGGATCATGTGATCACTTTTTGCAACTTTCTAACAAGCAAAGTCAATGGGGAAGCCAGATTCACTTAACAACCAGGTTATTAACTTATCAAGTTCACTGATTCACTTATCAACTGTTGCAAGAAATGTCGTAAAATGGGGGCAAAACTCACTTAACAAATTCTCACTTAACAAGATAAATTTTGGGCTCAATTATGGTCCTAAGTTGAGGATTACCTGTATGTATGTGATTTGTACCAAAACTTAATGCTTTTATGGCCTATAAAGCAAACTGAGATTCTGTATCGGTTCTCACTGTTGATGTAATTCGGAATATTAGCTGAAACTAACATCCATTTTGTTCATGGGCCATGTCATTTTTCCTAACCTAACCTAACCTAACCTAACCTAACCTAACCTAACCTAACCTAACCTTTTTCCTAACATAAAACCTTGTAGTGTATCACTAAAAGAAGTATAGAAAGTAAAGTGGAGGTATGTGTTGGATATTATATTTGTTGGGAACCACCTTACTTATGTGTGTAAAAGAGTGAAAATAGATTCATGAGCAGTGATCCTCACATAACATTTGTATTCCATTACATCTACTTTCCCAAAGGTAATTTTTATTTGTCCAACTTTGAAAAAGTTACTTGCCACAGTCTGAAATCAGGAGGCACTGCCCACTCATATATCAAAACATGGAGAAGAATGTGACACATGCGTTTGCCTTTCTTAGTAAAGGCTTGCATCTTCTTAAGATGGCGGTTTGTTTTTTCATCTGAAGAATCAGGTATAACAGTTTATTTAAAAACCCAAGGATTCCTGTTCTCTAGCAGAGAATATTCCAAGAATTCTGCTGATTCTCACACCACATAATTCAGGCTTGTTTATCATAATGCCTTTATCATAAAGGTCAGCACCATTGTAGCTGTATCAACAGAAATGTTGTTTGGTGCTACTTCTGGTGCTCAGCATGGAGGCACTGTTGTGTTATTTTAGTATTCATTTTGTGCCACTTGTATCTTTAGCAGTGTATTGAACCTTGAAGCAGTGTTGAGGACTTGAATTATCCATAGTGAATACAGATAGATCAGAACATCCAAATCAATCAAATTTTAAGTGAATTAAAATGTTTAAATAAAAGGGCCAGGGAACTTCATTTATTTGGAATTATGCACAGATGTACTTATTTATATTCATTGTTTATTGGTACAGCATACTAGCTTAGTGCCTTTGTAATTAGGTATTCCTCTTATTGTACCTTACTTTTTTTTAGAGTTATGACCTTGTTTTTACTTGGGCTGGAAATACAAATGCAGTGTTCAAACAGCCTTGGCAGGAAAGTGACAGATTTTGGAGGCTGTTCTTAGGTGATTGAACCTATTCTTGGCTTTTGCCTACCAGCCTGCCACCTGCCACAAGTGAAACAGGCCAGTAGGTACAGAAACCAACAGGAAAACACCAAACATTTCCCAACATTTTGAAAGCATAACATTTGTTGTTAATTCGTAAGATTGTCCCAATGGAAAAAAATATTTGTTATCGCTTGTTTTATCTTCATAGACTTATGCTGATTACATTGAGAGATTCTTTTCTCCCCTTCCTTTGAATAATCCCATTTGCTGTTTAGGGAGCTATTTTGCAAATACTTTAAGCATCTTCTTTGTTTAGATCCCCAGTAACCTGATTTTCTTGATCTGTGTTCCCAAGGATCCATTGTGCAGGACATACAGGTGTTAGCACAGCTGGCTTGCTGATGACATCTCTGTCCAGATAGCTGCCTAGTGTGTCATCACTCATATTGTTCAGTGTCATCCTGACCTAGCCAAGCTAAAAATGGCACTCTAGCTCAAGAGGGATTTAAAAACCTTGACAAACTAAAGATAAAGATATTGCAGAATGTCATATCCATGTGTTTTAACTGTTTTAGCTGAGACATATCTAAGTAACTAATGCCAGAGCTTGTCTGATTTAATTTTTAAAAAAAATCTGAAGGTTTTTTTTGTTTTGTTTTTAATTCATGGGTATTGTATACTTTGCCTTAAGTGAGGAAACATCCTTGTGTGGAGTACTGTGAAATTAGTTAATGCAGTTATTTTCTCCAGACATGGGTTCATTTCCAGCTCAAGGTCAATGCAATCTGTTCATCAGGGACAAATTATTGTGCACATCCCACAAATACAGAATAGCTTTGGCATAGTGTGTAGTGTTTGCTTAAAAGGGCCTGGATCAAATTATTCTTTCATCCAACTGAGTTCAGACTTTAGTATACCGTACTCTTTTTTTATATGCTAGAAAAAAGTTTGCAGAATTATATTATATTGAATTTTCTATTGATAAATAATAGAAAACTGTCTCATTTTTATTCTGGCTGAAACGTTGACAGTGCAAGGCATAGGTGTGTCTACTCAGAAGTAAATTCAATCAGTTGCGATTAGACCTATGACCAGAAGGTTTGCATAGGATTGCATAGTCATTCTTGTACAGTCTTTTTATTTATTTTAAAAAACATGCAGTTGACTGAATCATGCAGTGATAATGGTTTCTCACTGCAATCCTACACTTCCTGACCTAGGAATAAATCTAACTGAACACTTCATTCCTGAATTATTAAAA